TGAAGAGGCTGACTAGGAATGAAGGGGGCTCTGGACGTTCTTTGGGTCTGCGTTTCTGCTACATTTCAAGTTTTCCTCAGAACTTCTCTGGGCATCTTGTTAACACATAGATTCTGATTCCATAGGAGAGATTCTGTACACTCAGCAACCACGTAAGCGATGCCTGGCTGCTCGGTCACAGACCACAGTTCAAATAGCAAGGGACAGAGGACTCAAGACAACCAGCCACGCGCCCTCAGCGGTCGAGTCTGGCACTAGATGGACTACCGGATGGAAAAGATTCAACTGTTGGTTGACTTTTGCTGATATTTAAAATTCAGCAGGTATGTTCTATTTCTAGCTCCAAGAAAATTATGGCTTATATCTCCAAGCTTTTTTTTCTGTTTTTAATACAAATAAACTCTCATTTTGATCACTTATGTGGATGGGAGGGAGCAAATTACTGTGGAGTTCAATCTGTCCCACTTTGGACACACAGGCCCTCAGCCTTAGACTGTCAGAGTGTCTCTTAGTCAGGTTTTTTGTACAAGATACTCTGTACCTCGAATGTGTGTCGTTTGTCCTGTAGCATAAGCCCTGTTGTCCTTTCTTAGTGGAAACCCCCCGTGCGTGCAGCGATGAGATACGGGAGGCTGGCCTGCCCTCTTTGCAAAATCCAAATGTAATAGGACCACCTGTGAAGAGGACTTCCCAGGTTGTGTGTGGAGTCTGCCAAAAGAGGGACGTTCAGGTGGAACTCGAGGTCAGTCATGGTGGAAGGAGAGGGAGAGGAATCGGCGTGAAATCCTGATTTGCATCTGACTGCTGAGAAGCCTTCGGCCTTCTGAGCCAACTTGTAGGAGAGTTTCCAAGGGCTCCCCCTCCCTTTGGGCTGGCAGATTTTCCTGCCAGTGTTTCCTTCCTGGGTCTGGAAACAGTGTGTAACTACGGTTTTGCTGCTATGTTGGAGGATTGTTTATCGCTCAGAGAGGGGCGGGGTAGGAAAGGAGCTGAAAGTCTCCTGGCCGCCTACAGCCTTGTGCAGCGGGTTTGTATGGAAGGCGGGGGTCACAGATATGTGAATTTGAAGTACCCAGTCCACGTGGAGTTTTTTCTTGCTTTAATAAAGTTGTCAGGTTGGAGTTTAAAGAAGGCTGAGCAGAGTTTTGTAGCTCCATCAGTTCCCGCACGGAAGGGCTGTGTTTTGAGCAGTGAGTCTTGGTGTGTGCCTCCTGAGGCCGGCCCACGGGGTAGCTGGTGCCACAGAGGGAACCTGTTCCCAGGAGGGCTTCCTTCACGCTTGCGGTCACAGAGATCGGTCAGTGCTTTGCAAACAAACCGATTTCTTCACATCCGAGACTTGTCCTTCAAGTGAGTCCCTTGAGAACTTTTCAGGAATGGTTTTTGGATTTGCTTACAGGAGCGTGGGGCAGTATTTGACCACTGTTAGAAGTGGCAGGATTTGTCCATCGAGGATGGACTTGCTTTTTAGAAACAATCAGAATTCACTAGGGAGTCAAGATGGCAAGGGCTGGTATGAAAAACATCGCCTAGATTGGTAAGAGAATGTCTCCTAACCCATGCTTAGAGTACTTGTGTGGCCTGGGGATGACTCAGAAGGGCCTTCATAAGAATGAATTGGATTTGACTGGTAACCAAGCAGCTAGTGACAGGCTAGCATTAGTTCTGGATTTGCTTGAAGACGAGGCCACTCTATCCACTCAAATAGGAGTCTGTTTGGAATTGGAAGAGTACGCAGTCCTGCTGGTGGCAAAAGACCCTGGGAAAGCCAGGAGGCAGAGCTGCTGGCTCAGGTGAACCTGGGATGGTACCAAGCTCCCTGAGAACTCTACTGCCACACACGCTTCCGGTGCCCCTTCTGTCTGCAGGTCAGAGCCTCCAGTCTCTAATGCTAGAGCCCAAGGGCAGTGAGGGCTGCCACGAAGTGGCAGGGTGGATGCCGAACTTTTTTTTGGCATTAGCCTCGTTTCTTGTGATCCTTCCCTCTGGGTGGCTGAGAGCGGCTGGGGAAGGTGTGAAAAGGGTGGACTTTCTGCAGAATTATGTGCGTCCTCAAATAAGGGCTCTCCTGGTTGGGGAGGGAATTGAGATGTGTTGAGGGACTGTATGGCAGGGTGGAGGGTGGTCAGTGGTGCCTGGGATGAAAGTGAGGGCCAGGGAGGAGGGACTGATGAGGTGTGGCAGGTGAAGAGGCTGACGGAGATGGCCACTGATTCAGCTAGCGTGCTCCTTGCCAGCACCCCCTTTCTCTCAGCTGAACAGGAGGTCAGCTTCTGGAGGCCATCAGCTTGGAGGTGAAGGGAACCCACCTCATCAACAAAGACAACTCTGTAAAGTTGCTGGCAGTTAATGGGAAGGAATGGATTCATTCGTTAAAAAATATATATTGAGCGCCCAGTGTGTGCCAGGCACTGTGTGCTAGGACCTTGGGACACACTGGGGGGTGAAAACGACCCCTGCCCCGTGGCGCCGACAGTAGACGGGCAACTACAGGAAGCCCAAAAGTGCTTCTCGTAGGCTCTGTGCGTGGCGGCATCCCCTCTGCTCTTCCAGGAGGTGATGGCCTCTGGCCGCCAGTGCCGAGGCCAGGGTGGGTTGGTCCACACGCTGTGCTTCCCTCAGCCGCCCGCGCTCAGCAGGTCTGGGGAGCCTCTTTCTGAGGAGACATGTTGAAACTGACTTCCAATGGCTTTAACTCTGAAGCCGCTCAGAAAGCTGGCAGTACCATGTCTGCACACACAGTCCTCAGGACCCTTGCCTCTGAGACAAAGGATTGTAGAAGATTCTGTCAGATCCTTAGCAGATAGCTCCAGTGGACAAGAGGGTTAGCCTGTGTAGCATGCAGAATTTTAAAAATCCCTATTGGAAAAGAACATTGTGATGCTGATCGTTGTGTTGCAAGTCTAAGAAACTTATTAGGGTTTAAAAGTAGTCCAAGGGCTCCTTGAAAACCTCACCAATGGTACTTAGACTGTAATCTGGATCCCTCAGAGAAGCAGCTCTGTCCCAAAATCCATCTGAGGAAGTTTGTTAATGAGGCATTTTAAGTAAAGCGGTTCCCTAACAGACCCGAAGCATTAGCCACATCCGGGGAGCCCAGCCTCTGTGACAGCTTTACTAGAAGAACCCCAGCTAGTGATTTTCTCCTGTGTTCAAACTGCAGGTGCACACAGCGGCCCCCAGCCCATTTCCCCCTTACAGTCTGAATGGGTTTCCGTGATGAGCCTTGTGACTAGGGGTGGCCCGGGCCGCACAGGAGCTGGGCACAGCCTGTCCTCTGGGCCGCGTGCAGGCACACCCAGTCCGATCTTCTAGAGGATGGCTTGGCACCGTTTTCACCTCTCTCCACGTACTAAAGCGCCATCTTTTGTGTGTCTCATAATTGCTCTGAAATGAGTGGTCCTCTGAGGCAGCACATGACTGTCCCCCACCTGCCAGGAGGGTGCCTCTGTCCATTGCCTCTGTGCCTGCCTGCTGTGTTCTCAGGCCTGTCCAGGCAGCGGCCCTTCTCTGTTCTATCTAGACCTGATCATTTGTGCTGTTTTGTGATGCCGGATTAGCAAATCTGTGCAGTGTGTATTTTTTCTAAGCCCAGAAGCCTGACCTCTGGGTCCTTTGGTCTCCTCCCCTCTGACCTAGCGCCACCTGTGACGTCCAACTGTCCCTGCACTTGTTATTTATCAGGCTGACTTCTGGCCGTA